GGAGAATAAAACTGCAGAAGCCAATGAAAAATGCAGTGTTATCCTGTCCACAACTGGCATGTGGTCCAAAGTTGACTGTGCACGTAGTCGAAGCAGAGTGGTTTGTAAAGCTCCTTTAGGTATGGAAGTGTTGTTTTAGCAGAGACTTGATTTCGTAGAGACTGTTTTCAGGAATTTCTGGTTTATTGGATAAAGTCTGTGTGGAAATACTGGAAGTGCAATTCACAAATGAACCCATCAAGTACTTCTGCAAGAGTCTTCTGTTGTTGTTTAGCCATAAAACTGCATTCAGAGACAATTTGTCTAGGAATTTAGTTCTCCTGGCTCTCACTATCCACTCAGTGGGTAAGGAACAGAACTGAAATGTCCAGAAAGTGTAGAGTTGTCGATATTACTTCTTACCACAGGGTATCTGTTGTGGGTGAGTTCGTGTAGGTGGAATCAGAAAGAGTTCTGCTTGTAAGCAAGTACTGCACATGTTTTTTCAGTCTTGGGGAGGCTTCTGGAAATGTCACCTTGTAGCTCCAGAAAAAGACTCAGGCCTTTACTCCCTCATCCTTGGCTTTGTACAGGAAAACAAGCAGTTAAGCATTAGGCAAGCAAGTTCTTGAGAAGAAGTGGAATCTTTCTGATTTTGTATACATTTTCACTGAAGTGGAAATGCAGGAATAGATTAATCTTGGTGCCACTAAGGAAGACCTCAACAAGATCTCTTCAGTCTGAAGGGAGTATAATTACCTTCCCTTCCAAGAGCCTAAGATCTCATTAGATTTATGAAGTATACAAACCTCTAAATGAGTGCACCCTTTGCAAGTAGGTTTTTTTGAACTCCAGAAGTCCCTTCCAACCTAAATATTAGTAAATTAACAACAGAATGATCAAAAATAAGCTAATGCATTTCTGTCTGAATCAGCATCTAACTTCGTGTGATGAAGTGAAGACTATTGATAGGAAGTAGTTTGCCTTGACTTGAGCTAATTGTGCAGTATTAATGTGTAGCTGCCTAAGCATCAACCTTATGGCAAAATATTCTTGCCAGAACTCTTAAATAATAACTATTCATCTTTTGTTCTGTTTCAGGTTCTAACCATACTGGTGTGGCTGTAGCATTTGCCCTGCTAATTGTCCTGGTTTTCATAGCTGGACTGGTATGGTACCTCTACAAAAAGAAGCGTCTTCACTGGAGTGCCTTCTCTTCCGTACGCTATCAAAGAGGGATGAATGATGATGAAACTGATGATATGTTCACAAAAGATAGCTATTGAAAAACCTTCTTCTGATCCATTTAAGCACGAACTTCACTGTGTGAAGCCATAAGAAATGAGCTACTTGATGTTTTTATTACTTCTTTTTTGAAAAGCAACAAGGTTATTAGTGGGGGCTAAAATTAGTTTGTTTATATACAAGTGCAATTTTTATTCAATTTAATGGTAATTCTTTATATTTGGCCTCAGTCTTTTAAGATGCAAGGTGTTTAGAGTTCTGTTGTATTTTTTAATTTATAGTATTGTCTCTCTTTACTGGAATTTTTGATGGAACAAATTAATGCCAACAGTACTTCATGCAACATCACTTTAATGAATACACTTATAATTTACTTCTCCCAATACTCTTATTTATACTAGAATTAAATGCCTAATTTTATAGTTACCAACTCATAACTTTATAGGTGAAATATGTCATCTGTCCAAGAAAGAAGATAAAAGAGATGTCTAAGGAAAGAATGAGAATATATGGTAAACAAACTTGTGTACATAAATGCTAAAAATACTTGAGTATTTTTCATAAAACTGAAACTTGATTTTTGTACGTGATGTGTCACTGTAGCCTTTCCTATGCACTCCAAAGAATGCTATAAAGGGAAAAAGGGAAGACAAGAGTTGTATATATTAATTACTCAATTATTTGATCAACTATTGTTTTGAAAAAGTCTTTTGACTTTTGTTTTGAAAAAGTCTTTTGACTTTTTTGAATGCACAGTACAAAGAACAGGTGCATTTACTTTTATGAAGGAGGATATGCCAAAGACCAAATCCATTCTGCATGTAGTGATGGCATGAGGTGGTAAATAGGAATACATTGGCCTGGTGTGCTGAGAAGAGTACTACTGATTTCTCTGAAGCAGCAGAGCAAGGTCACAGTGTTCAACTGCCTTCTTTTCCTGCAGTTTACTTATGTTGATGGCACTTTTCTTTGTTCCTGTTTGCACTATTTTGATAAGGAAGTGTTTATCATTTGTGTTGAGAAGTAGAGAACTCCTTGTAGATACACTTTGAGCTTGTTAAAAGAGCAGCCTGAAGGGGCACGGTAAGGGAGCCAGTGTGGTAGTTTGCTGATCAAAGAAGTAAGCACTTTTGTTGTTTGTTTTGGTACTTTTGGGCACAATTGTGAACATTTGCTTTTCCTGAGGTAAAAATGAAACTACATTGTAGAAAATGTAGTTATGATGAAAATAACTCTCATTCTTTAACTTACCCTGGTAGGAGAAGTGCTTGAAATGTTGCAAAGTCTGGTTCCAGATGTCTTCTGGTTTAGCTTATATGCCTAAGTGCTTTGCCAAATGACTTTTAACTTAATGGACTAAATAAATATTGGTTATTGTCTTTTTCTAACTACGGTAATAAGTGGGAAAAATTATTTACAAGTTCCCATGTTTTGAGATTTAATAGTTTTATAGATGTTTATACTCTGAGCGTTTGTAGGTGTGAATCTGAAATTGAAAGTGGAAATTAGTAGTAAGATCCTGATTCAACACAAAAGGATATATACTTTTTATTAAAAATTGTATATTTTATTCTTATAAATGATGTAAATAATTTTTTCAGGCCCCATTTCTTGTGTTTGTTTCATCACACCCAAGTTGTCTAATCACTGGTAATTCCTTTGTGCATAAGCACTATGGCCTTAGTGCAGGTGAATAACCTACTTCATTTGAAATAGACAGGAAGATTATTTGGCAGTATTGTTGTTGAAAGAATAAAGTTAAATAAAACACTGAACTGCTTACACTGGTTTTATTTCAATAGAAGCAGTTGTCAAAGCTAAGGCATGGGTCATTAATCACTGGGTAAAAAAGCACAGCACAGGGGCTGTGATTAGAATTAAAGCCAGAAAGTGTGTGTTACCACAGTAAGAAAACTTTAGAGGTAATACATCATCTTTGATATATTTAAAAAGATGCCAGTAATTTTCTTTTTGCAGTTGAAAACTTAGTTATACCTAGCATTTATCAAGCTGCTTCAGGCTTACACAGGGAACATTCCTCTGTGCCTTTCTGTTCTAATCAGGGTGTAGTTCATTAGCACCTCAAGGCCCAGATTAAGGCAGTGTATCAAGGCTCCCTCCATAATGCCTCTTAAAATACAGGCAAAGTTAAACTATTTCCAGCTAAGTAAAACTTGCAATTAAAGCATAAGATGTATTCATTTTAAGTGATGTCTGAGCTCTGAATTCCATATGCCCAAAATCTCTGACTGCTGGTCAAAGGGCAGGGTTATTTTTAGCTTGCTGGGAGAAACATCCTATTGTGCAAGATGACCAACGAGGTCATCTGCTTCACAAACATTAATCTTAAAACTGAAGATGATGTACAGGGAAATGGCAGCAGAGAAATGCTTTCCCAGGTCCCAGAGCAATGGAGTTGAGAAGGCGTCGCAAAACTCTTTCATCCCAGAGGACAGACTGTCTGCCAGCTGTGGTAGCCTTAGGCAAAAAGTGTACAACTTCAGTTCTTCTTCCTGAATTTTGCCCAGGCCTTGGAGACTCTGGGTCATGGAAAGGTTAATCCACATTTGCCTCTACACCAGCCAGCATTTTTATTTTAGAAGTGTTTCTGCATCACTAACTTAAGGGACATAGAAATCAACAAGTCTTTATATGTGAGCACCCTTTGGGCTTGATGCTTTTGTTGTACTTCTCAGCATTTTCCCCTTAAACCAAATGCACCATCTGCTTGTTGCTTTGGACATATGTTATACATGTAAACATTTTTGAAAGGAGTAAGTAAATTTCATGGCCTGCTAGTGATTTTTTGGTTTTGGTATGGCTGCAAATAAATGAAGACCAAACATGACAATTTTTCTTGCTACAAGTTGGAACTACTATTTGGGTCCTTCATGCATCTGCTGTTGCTATGTGTATGGAGCACAGTGGGATATATAACACCCAGGTTTCTAAAAGTTAGTAAAATTCATTCTGTTGTCAAGAAGTACATAAAGTTCTTATTGACCAAATTGAACAGACACTGCAGTTTTAAAGCAAGGTCTATGAGCAATATTAAGGGACTGAGCTTAGGATAAACAGATTCCTTACTGGAGAATAAAATTCAGTTGCAAAATTCAGTTGCCACTCTGATGGACCTTTCCCACTTAGTTCTGAGTTTTACGATGGGAGTTGACAAAGTACTAGAGAGGGAATATTCTGTTAATAGCAAATTAACTTGTAAATGGTGCATAGTTTAAATGCCCTTATAAAATACTGTTATCTTGGGTATATTCTTTATGGCTAAACCACAGCAATGGTATTTGCACACTGAAAATTCCTGCACACTCTATTGTAATATCTGTCAGTAACTAAGATTTTTTTACAGATTTGTGGGGGTAGGGGAGGATACCAGACGAGATTTTTATTGTGATGACACAGTACTGCAACACAGACTGTAAGTCCTTATGGATTTCTCTTTACCAAAGCAGAAGGGACTATAATTACAAACAGTACAACAGTTCTTTGTTTTGCTACTTTTCATCATAAATAGAGTAATTTACTCCAAGGTGACTTTTAAAAAAGTGGATTCTGGCAATACAAAATAATTATTTCAAAATGTGCTTCCTGAATTATGCATTTTTTGCTAGAGCAAATGAGAACAGAGATATTTTTCTGCATGCTGTGTCTTGGGACACTCATACAGATAGTAAGAGTACTGCTCCTGCTTTCTACAAAAACCTCTCTTTTCAAATGCCATGTGTCATGTTCCCTTTAAAGAGACTTTTCAGTAGTAAGAGTACTGCTCCTGCTTTCTATAAAACTTCTCTTTTCAAATGCCATGTGTCATGTTCCCTTTAAGGAGACTTTTCAGAGAAGATAATTGTACAAAACCATGGTGCTTACACTTTGTTAAAGCTAACAGGCCTTATATGCATATTGAAATTAAATTTACAAAGTAGTGGGTTGAGATGGTTTTCAAATATGCATGAGTGAATGTCATCACCATTAGCAACTGAAATTTCATTGAAATGTCTTTTTTTCATAAACATAATCTGGGTATTTGAAGAGTGTCTTGTGCTAAATGAGAGTGTGAATTATAAATGGGTGTGGATAATGGGAAGTCACATTTGCCCATGGCTTGCATCGTGAGCTGCTTTGAGAAAAGATTGATTGGGTTTTTGAAATTCCATCTTTTGTTGTCTCCTGTGGACACCATTCTTCTTTGTACCTCTCCTCTCTCACCTGCTTTGCAGCACTGACCATTAAGCCACCAGATGGAGAACACACCACTGCGGGCACAAGATCCATGCAGGCAGCCTTGTACCACCGCTGCCTGCCAGGAAAGGGCACCAGAAAGCACCACTTCCTCCAAGAAGCAGCAGCCACAAGGCTGAAACACTGCCAACAGCCCCAGAGCACTCCAGGGAAAGGGCTGCAACAGCCACTGTGGACAGCTGGAACATCCTGTAGCAGCAGGACACCATAACCTCGGCAGGGTGGGTCTGTACCCTTCCTCTGCAAGCAAGAAAGCTGAGAGCAGCTCTCCTGATCCTGGCCCGAGTATTTATGACAAAACAATGGTGAGTTTGCTGTGGACAACAGCCACTTCTCCCTTCTTCCAGCCCCAAGGAACTCCCTCCACACCTTCTTCAACCAGGGTATCTCTTCCCATGCAGATTCAGTGCCTTTGTGCCCACAGCAGGCAGCTGCCTTGCCTTCAACCTCACACTGCAACAGGAGAAAGGAACAAGACAGGTAAGTTGCTCCTAATGATGTGTGTGCTTCATTAGTGGCCCTGCAAAAACTGTGCCCAGTGTCTAACCCAGTACAGAACCAATTGAGTTTATCTTCTTAGGCTTTCACTATGATAGTCACTCAGGATTTTTAAGTGTTTGCTTTCACAGGAAGAACATGTTTGTATTGGTAATCCTGAGCCCTCACAGCATTTTGGGGAAGGCCTGGGGGCCAGTGCCTGAGGGCTGTGAGGGGCTCCAGACGTGTCCCTGGGTGCAGCGTGGGGAGGAGGTGGAGCAGGGCTCTGGACACCAGAGTTCTGTTCTGCAGCCGGCTGGGCTGCCCAAGCCAGTGCTGGGTAGCAGATAATAGCAGGAAGCAGGAATCAAGCACCTGACTGCTTTGCTCTGTGTTGCATTCAGACCTAAGCAGGGTTGTGGAATCTGGGTGCTCCATGTGATGGATTCCTCCCAGCTGGGTGTCACAGCCGTGCAGGAGCAGCGCTGAGCTGGCACTGGGGTAAGTGACTGTCCCTGGTGATCCCCTTCACTTTGCTGCTGACTCGGGAATGGGGCCAAGGTGTATCCCAGCCATGCATTAGGAAATCCTGGTCAAAAAAAGTAGCCAAAAGCCTGGCAAATTTGCATCCTACTTCTTTAGGAGTTATTATTTTACAGAGGAGGCTGGAATTCTTGTGTGAGATCTGCTTAAAGGCCCAAGGGAAGCATGTTACTTTGAAGCAAATGCACAGGCATTGCTCTTCCTACATAGGGAGAGGCTGTGTGTTTTAAAACCAGGTACAAATAAATGTTTCAAGTTTACTGCCAATACTAACTAGACACATGACTTTGTGAAACAACTTACCTGAGGCAGTGTCTTTGTGTATAAACCATTTCATGATGTAGGTGCTGATCATAAATTGTCTAGAAACTAGTTCATATAAAATAAACAGAGTATTCAAACTTGAACTAATTATTACAGAAATACTTGAATGGAGTCCCAGAGGGGACTGCATGTCAACCTGACAGGGTGATCAAACATTGAAAAAAGAAGTCAGAGAAGGCTTTTAGCTGGGCACCTCTTTAGATTGTTATTCATGGCTACCACTCAATAAATGCATTTGTGTGTACTGTTGTAGTCATACTGGACCTGCAGCAGTGCATGGTTGTTGTCTTTATAGAGATGTGTTAATGATATAAGTGCAGTCTGAAATTCAACAGCTGCCCAGAAAGGAGACTGGCTAGCTTGTAGTAAGCAGAGGCATTTGCAGCCTCAAATAAAGACCCAGAAAATCTGTGCAAGGGGATAAAGATGAAGAACATAGAATCTGTGAACAGTTAAAGTGATATTGTACAGACTGATCTCCAGGGTCCTGAGGCTCTCAGAGCATCTGACCAAGGTATAAAGGGGAGCATAATGATAGGGATTATGCATTGCCGCATCACTGCTTGGATTCCATACCTGTGTATGGATTGAAGGAACTTTTGTCTGCTAGTGGTATGGTCTGTCTGTGTTGCTGAGAGTCAGCTGCTACCAGTCCCAATTTACTTCAGTCACACAAGTTCTTAGGCGAGTACTGTGGCCAGGCCATGCACTTGTGTGGGAAGTGCATATTGGCAGCTTATTTGAGCCAGAAGTGATTTTCTGTTATTAGTGACTTTGGAGGTGCTGAAGAGAAGGTATGGAGCTGATCCCACAAACTGGGTCTTAGGAGACAATTAATTCCTTGCTCGGCTGTCTCAGAACCAGTGGGACATCTCCCATTGAGCAAAGGTGTGACCCAGCCCCTGAGAGAAAAGCAGAAGTTGGAAACAAACCTTCCCCCACTGTAGCAGCAAACTATTTTCTATTGACCCCATAATTTGCTTCTGGGAGGAAGGGCTGTTGTATCCTCCTGCCGATGATGCCTGCTTTTCACTTACACATTTTGAGTGTTAAGCTCTGAGTAAACCCCTTAACATGGGCACACAATGCCTGTAAGTGAATACAGCCTGTGCAATCCAATAATTTATTAAACTTTCATCTTGTAAAGCCAGTTACAAATTAAAAAAGACAGAAGAAGGAATTTTATAATAGAAATGAGCAAAATTACAACAAATAGTAGTGGGAGTTATGTTTCAAGTGGGTTCAAGCTGCCTGCAGCAACCCAAGAGCCAGAACACAGAGCTAGTGCAGAGTTAGGACATGGATAATCAAGCCTAGTCTGATACATTAGAGATCGAGCCAGTGTATGCAGTGTATACAAAGTGTGGCTTCTCAGGTGGCCTCTGCATTCCTGTTCTCTCCCATCTGTGACCTGGTCATCTTTTAATTCCTCGTGACTACAAGGGGGTGTTTGTGGGCTCCATCAGTGACGCTATTTAAGGCAAAACTCCAGTTGAAGGGATGATGCACAGCAGGGGCCACCCTCTTTGGCTGATTGTGTAGCAAGTACACGGTGTGTTTGCACATGCTGCAGTGTAGTGGAAATGAGAGGAGCAGGGGTTATGTACAGTATTTCTTCTTGTACTGTCACCCTCAAAACTAGTGCTCTGCAACACAGTATTAGTAATACTGGCACAATTTGATGATGAATTGGAATGGAACCTGTTCCTTACTGACTCCTACTTTTCTATGCAATTTCTGTTTCATAGCTAACAGGCCTTAGCTGCTGCTGCTACAGAAATGGAGACAGCCAATTTTAAATGTGGAAGAAGGCCCACATTACACACAGCTCTGTAGTTTCATGGGCCTTTGCTTTCTGGGATCCCAAGACTAGACAAGGGTCATGGAAAATGGCTCACTACCAGCTTTCTTGTTTGCTAATGCAACTAATTTATGATGGGACTGATACTGAATATTTTTTAAACAATTAAATCAACTTTCTGAAGTCAAGAGACTGAAGATGACTGTCTTTCATGGAGAAGAAAAAAATTCTGCTTCTTCAAATTGCAAGTAGCTATAAAAACCTCCAAGAAGCAGTTGTTTTGGCAAAACAGAATAGTTTTCAAGTTCTGCCGAGGACTAAAGACCTAGAGGAGACTGGATGGGGATCTGGGTATTCAGTGATGTGAGCTTGTTAAAATTTGGGGTGGGTGAAGGATTTGGCATTTGCTTACTGCAGTAAAGAGGAAGTAAAAATCTTGCCTGTAACAATTTATCTAGGCACCTATTAACTCAATAGGAAACAGTTCACTTAAAACTAAGTTTAGGGACTTGAGTCACCCTAAAATCCCCCCTAAAGAAAGAAGGATCTTAATGCAAGGAAGCTGCTCATCATAAATCTCCAACATCCATCTAATACCTGGAGTTTGTGAAGAGCAGCTCTTCTGGAAATGCTACTAAAACCGTCTCCCCTCGTGGGCTGTACAGAAGAACAGCAGTCATTATTTTTTTATGCAAGAGGTGCAGTTGCAGTGTGACCTTAGGGCCTATTTCAGTGGTGCTAATGCCAGAGGTTTTCTCCTAGACTGGAGTATTTAGTAGTTCAACTGAAATGGCCACTTTTTACAGTTGTGTACCTGTGAACTTTAATTGGAAGGCAAACAACCACCTTGGGTGTTATTTGTTTCTTTGTTTAATACTCTCTCAAGTTTGACCTCTCTGTTGGACCACTTGGCTTCAATTATACAAAGACTTTTTCTTTTTAAGACCAGATCAGATCATTAGCATATCCTGAAGAAAAAAAAAAAAAACAAACCCACAGTGATTTATATTTTAGATCTGTTTGCAAAATAAATAAATATTCTTTCAGCAGACCATGCTGTGATCACATGATCCCAGATGTCTGCATGTTTAAAATTCTTAAGGAAGCTTAAGTCTGTCTCCTGTCCTGCAGAAATGATCCTTGTAAATTTTTCTGCCAGAAGGTGATAGTGAAAGCAGCAGGGAGGACATGGAGGAGGAGGATGCTTCTGACTTTGCTTCTTTAAGATAAATTGTTCATCAAACAAGCAAGGGGAAAACAAGTTTTGGGTCATTAGTATTTCACAACAGTTGTAACTGTTTAATGTCTTTGGGCAGAGGTGCAAATCCTATGGTACTGTAGATGTCACTTCAGGTTTTAAATACAGTAGTCAGTTGAATTCTTAAAAAACATCTTTGCTACACTTGTGCTGGCAAGTTGCAAATACCCATGACTAAACTAGTGCCAGTTCATCTGTATCACCTAGTCCAGATGCTTGCATGACTGTCCACACTGGTGGCTGATTTGACACTGCAGCGTTTCTTCACAATCATGTTGATGTATGCTTTCATGATCTTTATTATCTCGCCCACCTGGGGAGAGAACACAGCAACACAGCATAAGCACTTTGAAAACCTCAGTGCGCTGAGGCATACAGCACATTTTGCTGAAAGAGATTCCCCTTCTCCAAAGTCATGACACAATCAATTTTGCATGTTAATACTAAATGTGAACATGATAGTAAGAAGAGAAAGTCTTGACAAATTTGTGTGCTGCTGTAGCAACACTTTAAAATATTTTTAGCTCAAAGAAAAGCAGCTTCCATTCTACTGTATCTTTCAAGTTTGTGGAACTTCCCATTCATCTACTTGAAAGGAATGAAAAAAACCCCAGGCAAACTGAAAAGCACCCAGAACTCAAAACCCTTGATGCACTGGAATACCAATCAACCTCCTTCACTTTCCAACCAGCCTATTTTTTTTGTTCATCCCTGTATTCAAGAAGAGGTACCATGCCCTTTAGGCTTAAGCTCCATCCATCTTTTCCCTTGGCTGTGTAGTCCGTTAGTCAAGAGTTCTTGACAGGACAGGAACCTCTCTATTCCTTGAAGCTTAACTGAGGTGGCTGTGTGCTTGCACATACCTGGGAGGTTTCAAAGAACATTTCTCTCTCATCCACTGTAATTTTGAAGGTGTTGGGCTGTGGTGCTCCAAAGAAAACAATGTGCTCATACTGGAAAGTTTCTAATGGTTTAGGATCCCCTCGTTTGTAGACAGACACATTCTCTGTGCTGACGCCAAGCCAGAGATCATTGGGGAATCCACCCTCCTTGCACTGCAGAAAGAGAAACATGACCTTTTGTATAAATGCATTGGAGGATCAAATAATTTTCCATTCAAGAAAAAGCCTTCTGTTTCTGCTCTTACAGGACATTTCAATTCAATACACAAACCAGGGTACTTGCAGAATCTATGCTGGAGGCACTTTTGCTGCAAAGATTTGGAAGTGACACAGCTGTGAGTCAAATACTAGTTGAGTAATAAATAACTGTAATAGGGAACAGCTCTCATCAGATTTTAAAGTGATATAGCAAGTCAATATTCCACTTCTTATTTTACAGATAATGCAGAGAGTGCAAGCAACTTCCCATGGTGATCCACCTTGGCAGCAGCAAAACTGACAGAAGTGAACTGTGGCCTCCTACTGCAGCAGGCTGAGCACGGTGCTGTACACTCCCCAGTCTGCACATTTTCTGCTGTACTGCTGCAGACCAGGATTGCACTTTTTGCTGGCAAGAGCAGCAGAGCTTTGTTTTATTTTGCCTTCACTAGCCACTGCTTCCTTAAACCCCTCTCTCCTCCTCCCTTCCACCACTATTCTAACAAAGTGGGAAGCCACTGTCTCCCTTCATTTACCAGGATGACCTGCCTTGCTTGCTCTGTGCTCCCTGTGTCATAACTCTTGGGTATTGTGCTACTGCAGGCTTTCCCTGAATTATTAAGGCAGTATGTATCCAGTTCCCAAAATTCCCTTTCGTTACAGCTTTATCTGTTCTCCAGACTGATACCTCTCCTCAGCTGAGGTTTTAGAAGTTTATTAATCACTCACCTCAACATCAAAGAGGGTTGACCCATAACCTGGCCACTCCTTTACAATGGACATGTATTTCACCATGGCCTGATGCTGAGAGAGCCCCTGCAGCTTGGTCCATTTTTGTGCTATGCTTGCCCGAGCAGCTGAAAGCTCTTCTTTGACCCACATCTCCATCATCTGCTCCTCTTCCACCTTCTGCTTCTTTACAGACCCTGTCTTGAAGCTACGCTTCAATGTCCCTTCAAGGAAGCTGGTCCGTCTCCTCTCCAGAGTGTGACTGCTGCTGCTGCTCTTTGTTGAGTGCAGTATTTTGGATTTCAGCCTGTTAACTGGGTAGATTCCATCAAGGGTCCAGCTTATTTTGGAATAATCTCCATGAAGGTACTGCAGCCGCAGAGCTGCCAGACGCTGCAGAGTGTCCTCCGGCCCAGGAAAATGACCAGCTATGAGGCTTTCGTGAGCCTACAAACAAAAAGTCCCCCAAACTCATTAGAAAGCAAAAGCACACTTTATTCCCATCTGAGTCCATGTACAGATTCCTGTCACATATGCTGATCCCAGTAGGATAAACATAATTCAGGAGGTCAGAGCAGACATTGTAAAAGTCTGCAAGTGGTTGATATGGGGGGGGAACACCCCTTTCTTCAAGCCTGAACAGGACAGAGATCTTTGAGGGGCTCCTATCCTGTACAGAAAGTCCTACAATGAGGACCTTTTAGGTCTGGAACAGATGGGGGAGACCAGAATTGGTGCAATTTGCCTACAGCTCCTGTGTGAAGATTATATTCAACACCAGTGTAATATATAATAAATTCAAGATTCTCAATCTCAGTTTCATTACACAAAAGCACCTCCCACCTCTTCCTCCTTCACCTTATGTCTCCACAAAACCTATTAATGGGGCTTTCTGCACATCCATCTAATGTCTGGGTAACACCTACTCTCCTACTGTTACTTCTCTTTGCCAGTTAAAGCTGTGTAGACTAAAAGCCTTGTCAAGAGGGAGTTTGGTACAACTGAGGTTGTAAGCAAGCAGCTACTTCTAATGATTCTCATAAATCATTACCCAAATTTCTCTGCCTTCTAAAATTAAAGACCAAGTTTAAAAAAATATCATTATTAGTGTTTAATTTTTTTTTAAGCCTTTGCTAATTTTTCTTGCTTTTGTTCTAATACTCATCTTCCCTAGAAAACTTCATGGTCTATCTGCTTAGTAGATTCCAGGCAAAAATCCAACACACTAAATTCTTCTGCTACAACCAGAATTCCCACATCTATTGAAAGGTAAACCAGTTTTCTGTACCCTCTTGTGTGGTTTTGCTACCCTAGAAACCAAATCATTCTCCCAGTTTGCTTACCTGCTCAAACATGAAGGCAAATTCCACACCATCTTTGGGAACATTCTCAATATCCAAGAAGCAATAAAGCTTAAAATACAGTTGCCACTGTCCTTCCTCCTCTTCTTCTTCAGATCCAGCAAGTCTGTAAAACATAAAAGAGAATGAGAAGGGAAAAAACCAGTAAGGAGAAGTACCATGGTACTGGAATGTCCACAGTGCAAATCACAACCTGAAGGTAACCCTGCATTCTGAAATCCAGTGTTACAGCCAACGAGGACTTAAAGATTTAATGAAACATTTCTTTACCTTTCAAACTTGGCCAAGATATCAGCCACAATCACCCGACTCTCCACAGCACGGTCAACCTGCTGGTTGTGTTCAAAGAGTGCAAACATATTCCGGCTGTCCTCCATGGCCAACCCTCGGATCAGCTTTTCAACCACCTGCAAAAGCAGACACATCACACCACTCGCCCTTTCACAATGAACAATCAGTACCTCTTCAGGACACCTGTCATTTCATACATCTCCATCACGTTTCTCCATTAATGACCATGTTTTCAGACTAAAGAATTCTAACCCTAAAAGATCATTCCCTGCAACGAAGTCATTACTTATATTTGATCATCCTTGCTTTTCTTCTCTGAATCTCTTCAATCTTTGCTACCCTTTTGAGGATGGGGGAATTAAAATTCTGCACAAGATATAGGCACATAATGGATTCAGATGTCATTGTGACATTCTCAGTTCCTCTAGTAACAATTCCACTTTCTGCTCTGTTTAGCACTAATGTTTTCACAGACATGACTACTGCAACCTGGAATCCTGCTTCTGACCTGCTAATGATTAAGTTACTGGTGGAATAACCCTTTCAGAAGGATTCCATTATGAACTGGAATCTCTCCTTGTCCAGAAACCTGTGTTTAGCAAGTTTAGCAAGGGCAGAACACCAGAAGTGTTTAGATTTTGCAACACAGTTTTCAAGTAATACTCTACAACCTGGGCACTGGCCTTGTAGAATAAGCTAAACTTTGCCTAAAGATATAGCAAAAGAGTTGTCATTAAAAAAAAAAAAAAAAAAAAAGAGAGAGAGAGAGAAAGTGGAAATACAAGGGAAAAGGGTGTCACTTCAACAGACCCACTCTCCAGACACAGATGTGCTCACATCTGGTTAATTCTACTGATGCATTACCTCCCCAGCACTGGTGTGGGAGTTGATGGTTATTTTGCAGGAGCCACCACCATGGCAATACACTGTCGTGGTCATTTCCTCACGGGTAAGAAGAGCCTGTATTTCCTCCTGGGAGGGCACAAACTCCCTCGTCTTTGTTCTCTTCAGGGAATCACTTATGAATTGTGCATACCTATCTATTTCTGAGTCTGGGAAGAGATCTTTTACCCTAATTGTAAAGAGAAGCAAAAAAAAAAAAAACAAAAACAAAAAACACAACATTACACAGTGAACAACACATTACTCTAGAAATGAGACTACTGCAAGTAAAGAGCTTGGTAGAGATGCTGATGTCGAATGCAACCACACAAAAATCAAGCTGATTTGCTAAACAGTACAATCTGCTTTCACTGGTCATTTGAAAGACACTACAGTGGCATTTCTCAGCAATGTATGAAATAAGCAGTTCAAAGTTTCAGGAGTTTAGTGACAGCTGAACATAGCAGGATTGACAATCTCAATTTACAAAACAGAATAAAAACTGTGAAATCAAATGTAAATTTTTTTATTTATTCTTAATGTTTTTGATTTTTTTTTTTTAATTTGCTGGCTGTGTTTGAGCCACTTCTACAGTATTTTTGAGAATTAAGAAGACAGAAAGCAGATGCCTGTACACTGTTCTCTTCTCTTCAAGACCAGCAGGTCTAAGTATAACATTATTTGCAACTCTAGTGATAAAAGAATGAAATGGCTCCATGGAGTATCTGCATCTCTTAGACCCAGGCCATGGATGTAGCTATTTGGTGTATTGACACAAAACTCATCTCACTCTTTCCTAGCTTGCAAGGAATCAAACAGATTTTATTGATCTTTCTCATCATTAGGAATGGAGCAAGGTTACACAGACCCAGTGTAGACTGCCTTGTAAAGCTGCATTAGATACTGAAGATGACTTGGGAAGAAATGTAAATTATTTATTTTATGAAAATAGGAGGTCAAAACAGATTAAAAATACTAACTATAAGCATTATGTGCTCAGTTAAAGAAACCCTGAAAAATTATAGATTGGATTTACAGTACCTCTCCTACTACATAGTATGCTTTTTGCCTGTGCCAGCTGCAAGGTAGGACAGATTTCCATGAGAATGAAAGTACAGACCTGACCTTTCCTGCAGCTTGAAAATGTTTATATGTACATTAGTTAGCAGCAGGTCATCAGCTGTAAATCCACTGCAACAGTGTCTCATGGTATTCTGTTTGGGTAACTTGCACAACAGATGGGTGGCAAGCGGGGGGAGTATGAATGCGCAAAGGTAGGAGGCTGGAGCACCACAGGAAGATGTTTGCCCAGCAAGAGGGTGAGACAGGTAACTACAACAGGCAGTGGAAGATCAGCAGAGTCAAAGGAAACAAACTGCAGAGAAGAGACAAAAGAGACGTTCACCTTCGGAGGTGGAACTTGAGGTAGCGCAGGATCCCTCTGCTGGGCAGGAAAGTGCAGCTCATACAGGTCATCAGCTGCCAGTGGTGCAGGTTCCCAGTACTGTTGGGATGTGGCATGTGGTTGGTTTGCTTGATGAGCTGACAGTACACTTCATCACGGAGGGGCTTTAAATCATGGCAGGTCTGCAGGATGCCTTGGATGATGGGTATGGGGTCCGACACTGTCTCGATTTCCTGAAGGGAGTTAAAGATCTTCACTGCTTCATCCTGTAAGCTGCTGTAACCCTTCTCTTGTTGCACTGGGGAACAACCACAAAGATGACAGGAGGTGAGCATCTCCCTCATTTTCTACTGGCCCAGCAGTACTACGGTCACCTGTACTCCTCTGTCATGGAAGAACAGCAACTTGAGCATTAGCGCATATCCTGAACTTAAATTTATACTTTAAGTTCATTAATGCTTCCTCTCCAAATGTTCAAATGCAGTTTTAATTTGTATTTGCCAACATCTGATTTGTCACCACTCCCAATCCATTTCTGGATACACTGCACAGAAAAGCAGAGTAATATTTTTAGGGGAAATGAACATTGAAATGTAGTTCAGGGTTCAGTGTCTGCAATCAAGGTATTGGAATGTGGCCATTGAAGCCTGGCTTGTGTAATTCCAAAATTCTGTGTTGTGCCTGTATTAGCTTTGACCCCTGGACCAACACAGAACTTAAGCAAATTGCTCTACCTCAAATGTATCTTATACCTATTGTTTAGATTTAAAATGCTCAAACCAAAACTTGAGTTTTTTGACCACCTAAATGTCTGCTTTTTGAATTGCTCAGACATGTGTGATGCCATTCAGATGCAGGCTTGCATTCTCCTTTGCACATCTCTGGGGCTTTAGGTCCTTCTGAATCTCCTGTACAGCCACTGCTTCCCCAGTGGCCATGTATTAACTGCACAATACAAAGACACAGCTCTAAAAATAAGTTCCACGGTGTAAGTGATTGCTCTGTATTTCTCCTGTATTTCAGATTTTTTTTTTCTGTGCTTTTAATCGGCCATGTAATTGGATCCTTGTATTGTGACAGACCTAATATCCTTTCACTTTCTCCATGACAGTCTTCTGGCCCTAAAAACTTCACTTTGAGGCTGAAGAATCCTGCTCTCTATTTAGTCACTTAATTGTAGGCAAGTTCTTCAGTACTTTTGATCAACTTTGGGTAGTTTTTACACCTCCCATATCTCTGAGGAGATGTAGAAGGCAAAGCTGTATCCTGCACTCAATATGCAGGTGCACAATATATATACAGCTGCACAAAGACTTTATTTTTCCTTTTCTAAGCTTTCAAAACCTTACATTAGCTGTTTTGTTTCTGTACTCGCCAATAGAGTTGACAT